TTTTATTTAAATTTAAATTTATTTCAATTTATTCCCATCAATTTATGGATGGATCCACTCAGGTCTTAAAGCCAAAAATATCTCTTTAAGCCCTTATCTAGCCGCTTATTGATTGTTGACGTTGTCTGAGTGTGTTACCGTTAACACCGAGTGCATTGAACTGTCCATAGTCTTCAGTTCCTCCTCCAGTTGCTCCTCCTCCAGTTGCTCCTCCTGCTGCTACAGCACACATCCGTTTGCCATTTTAGCAGTTTCATTTTCAGTTCCAGCTACGTCTCCGGCTAAAGAGCGCTTAAGCTGTCTGTGTCTGTGTCTGTAGCTCATGTGGCCCGGCCACAGTGTCCATCCGTCCAGGACGTGTGGGGGTCAGCCAGGTGTCATCAATGTCATCTTCGACTTTATAACACAAAAACACTTTGTAATCCCCAAATGAAGCGACGGCGATGACGACGATGACCAACAGCCAAAAGCAGAGCAATAATAGCCGAAAAAAATGTTTTGGCCAAAAAGCATTTGAAGCAAATCGAAAATAAAAATCTGTACAAAAAATACAAAAATGTAAAATCCAATGAATCTGGTTGCGGTATGTGGCATGTGGCATGTGTCGTCACTCTGCAAAAACAAAAAAAAAAAAAAAAACGAAAAAAATTTGTAGAAGTAGAAGAAGAAGCAGTCAACGTTACGATCTATTGTAGTTGGCCCTTTTATCGCCTTTTGTCCATCTATGTGGCATCTATGTGGCTTTATTGTATTTCAATGCGAAATACTTTTCAAATCGTTCGTTCGTTCGTTCGTTCGTTCGCTTCAATTGACAGCGGGCGACCAAACATTTGTCATTCATGTGTTGATTTCCGTTTCCTGTGTCCTGAGTCCGCCTCTTCGAGTCCTGCACCGTTGAGCCACTCGTGCTGCACAAGTGTTTGCTCCTTTGGGGCATCGATTATGCCTGGGCAATTGTAAAGCGATTTTCAGTTATTTCACTGCGCTAGCGCCAGCCACGCCCACCACCGACTGGCCCTGATTGATGTTTGCCGGCCAGCAGCAGCGGCAGCAGCGCCAGCAGCAGCCACAAAAATACCACAAGGACACACGCGCGCGCGGCATTCAGCTCAACCACTTGTGCGATTATTTTACAATTTACCACTCGATTTTTCTTTCTTTCTTTTTTTTTTTCGATTTTTCGATTGTTTTTGCTGCAGCGACATTTAACGAGTGGAACCAAAAAACAGCAAAAAAAACAAAAAACAAAAATTCTGCAAAAAAGTGAAAATCCTTCATTTCAATTGAATTTGTGCAAAGCATTTTTGTTGCTGTCGTTTGTTTGTTGTACTCTTTCAATTGCAATTGAATTCACATTCATTTATTCATTTCGACTCGTTTCGTTTCGTTTCGTTTCGTTTATTCAAGCTGGCACTGCCAGCGCGCGCTTCGATGAGCAGCCCCAACTCCAGCTCTAGCTCCAACTCCAGCTCTAGCTCCAGCCGTAGCTCCACTTCCATGGCCCACCTATTTTGGCTCCATGGCGCGTGCCAAATTAGCGCTTCGCTTGCATTGAACTATTTGGAGGGCCCATCCAGGCATTTCTCATTTTTTTTCAATATTTTTTTTTTTTTTTTTTTTTGACTGAACTCTGTGCGCTAGGTTTCACATTTGTATGGCCATTGATGTTTTGGTCCGGTTGGCTTTGTCTGTGGTCGCGGTTTTGTTGATTGAAAATCAAATGGTGTTATAATTGAGCTGGCCCGTGTACAGGGGGCAGCTGGGGGGTCTGGGGAAGGGGCTGGGCTCTGCGCAATTCTTTGCAATTTATGTTTGTTGCACTCACAAAATGTTTATCAAATTTATCATACACTGTACAACAAAGTCGCGAACAAAGGCGATACAAATGCTAGCTATATATGTATGTATATATACCCATATATATGTACGTTTATCGAATTGAATTCCTAGTTCGATCTGGCTTTCGCTCAGTGCATAAACTGGGCGTCATCCAAAGTGCATCGAGCCTGGGCTTTTTCAAATGCTGCGCCGCTTTATGGCCACAAATTTGCGCTGGCTTTTTGAACGCTTTATGGCTTAATTGGCCCGCTGGGCTGTTGGCCCTGGCCAGCACGATTCGGTTTTTCTTTTCTTTTTTTTTTTTTGTGGTTCGTATCAATTGGGCTTCAATAAATGAGCTAAAATCCGAAATGCGCATAAACTTTATAACGTTTAATGGGCAAGCCAATGCCACTTTACGATCAATATACAATCAACCATATTAACTGGAATCATGCCCTCTCTCTCTCTCTCTCTCTCTCTTGAATAGATTCTGGACTGCCACAGTATGCTGGTCGCGGCGCTGGCGGCGATGATTCCATGTCCGAGGATCGCCTCGCACACATACTCAGCGAAGCCTCCTCCCTGATGAAGAGCAACGTGGTCGCCGCCCAGCAGCAACAGCAGCAGCAGCAGCAGCAACAACAGCAGGAGCACCAGCGTCGTCATGCCAGCGACGATACGCACAGCAACGATGACAGCAAATCGCCGCCACAGAGCTGCAGCTCGCCCTTCTACAAGGTGGAGCATCAGATCAAACAGCAGCAGCAGCAGCAGCAACAGCAGCAGCAGGCGCAGCAGCAGCAGCAGCTGCACGTCTCTGACCATGCGCAGCGCGAGCAACGCGAGGCGGCCGCCGCCGCTGCCGCCGTTGCCGTCCACCAGCAGCAGCAGCAACGCGAGCAGCGCGAACAGCGTGAGGCTGTGCAGCGCGAGCAGCAGCAACGACTGCGCCAYGAGGATCTCGCCCAGGACAAGATGGCGCGTCTCTACCAAGAGCTAATGGCGCGCACACCGCGCGAAGCAGCCTTCCCCAGGTGAGTACGAGACATCAAGACTTTGTCTCCAGAGATCGGCGAGAGACGCCCTCGCCTCCTCAAGCTCACGTATTCACATGAGAATTTCTCTCTTTGTTGTTTTTGTAGCTTTTTGCTGTCGCCGTTCTTTAGCGGCGCCGCTGGCATGCCTGGAGCAGCCGCCAATCCATTCCCCGCTGCCATGGCCGCCGATGAGAATATGCGTCACGCCTTCGAGCGTGAGATCGTGAAGCTGCAGCAGCAGCAGCAGCAGCAACAACAACAGCAACAGCAGCAGCAGGCGCAGGCCGCCAGCTTTCCCAACTTTTCCAGTTTGATGGCACTGCAGCAGCAGGTGCTGAATGGCGCGCAGGATCTGTCGCTGGCCGGCAAGGATATCAAGCTGAATGGCCAGCGCTCGGCGCACGATCAGCACAGCGGCAGCGGCAGCAGCTCCAAGGATGGCGAACGCGGCGATGATGTTGCCGATCGCAGCTTTCCCGCCCTGCCGCACGCCCGCAAATCGGATGGCGGCAACACGCCCGCACCACCCGCACCGTCCGCCGTCAATGCGGCCGGCAGCGGCAGCAATCCGCTAGCCGCCGGCAGCGTCGCCGGCAGCGTCGCCAGCGGCCATGGCAGCAACTCGGCTGCGCCCAGCCCATTGAGCAACTCGATACTGCCGCCAGCGCTGAGCAGCCAGGGCGAGGAGTTCGCGGCCACGGCGAGTCCGTTGCAGCGCATGGCCTCGATCACCAATTCGCTGATCACACAGCCGCCGGTGACACCGCACCACTCGCAGCCGCAGCGGCCCACCAAGGCGGTGCTGCCGCCCATCACCCAGCAGCAGTTCGACATGTTCAACAACCTGAACACGGAGGACATCGTGCGACGCGTGAAGGAGGCGCTCTCCCAGTACAGCATCTCGCAGCGACTGTTTGGCGAGTCTGTGCTGGGGCTGTCGCAGGGCTCCGTCTCGGATCTGCTGGCACGGCCCAAGCCCTGGCACATGCTCACCCAGAAGGGCCGTGAGCCGTTCATACGCATGAAGATGTTTCTGGAGGACGAGAATGCGGTCCACAAGCTGGTGGCCAGCCAGTACAAGATCGCGCCCGAGAAGCTGATGCGCACGGGCAGCTACAGCGGCAGCCCGCAGATGCCACAGGGCCTGGCCAACAAGATGCAGGCCACGCTGCCCATGCAGAAGATGATGAACGAACTGAAGCTGCAGGAGCCGGCCCAGGCCCAGCACATCATGCAACAGATGCAGGCGGCGGCCGCCATGTCCGCGGCCATGCAGCAGCAGCAGGCAGCGGCCGCCCAAGCGGCTGCCGTGCAGCAGGCCCAGGCCCAGGCTCAGGCTCAGGCCCAGGCACAGCAGAGCCACCAGCAGCAGGCCCAACAGCAGGCCCAGCAGCAGGCCCAGCAGCTGCTCCATCATCAGAATATGCTGTTGACGTCGCCCGGTCTGCCGCCCCAGCATGCCATCAGCTTGCCGGCGGCGAGCACGCCCAGCGGCCAGGCGGGCGGCAATCCGGCGTCTGTTGCCACGCCCGGCAGCAACGAGAAGAAGCCGATGATGATGCCGGTCCATGGTGGGGCGCATGCTCCGAATGCCATGCGCAGCCTGCACCAGCACATGTCGCCGACTGTCTATGAGATGGCCGCGTTGACCCAGGATCTGGACACGCACGATATAACCACCAAGATCAAGGAGGCGCTGCTCGCCAACAACATTGGCCAGAAGATCTTTGGCGAGGCGGTGCTGGGCCTGTCGCAGGGCTCCGTATCGGAGCTGCTCAGCAAACCGAAGCCCTGGCACATGCTCTCGATCAAGGGACGCGAGCCGTTCATACGCATGCAGCTCTGGCTGAGCGATGCCAACAATGTGGAGCGGCTGCAGCTGCTGAAGAACGAGCGGCGGGAGGCGAGCAAGCGGCGTCGCAGCACCGGACCCAATCAGCAGGACAACAGCAGCGACACGTCCAGCAATGATACTAACGATTTCTATACGAGCAGTCCGGGTCCCGGCTCGGTCGGTTCGTCGGTGGGCGGTGCACCGCCCAGCAAGAAGCAGCGAGTGCTCTTCTCCGAGGAGCAGAAGGAGGCGCTGCGCCTGGCCTTCGCCCTCGACCCGTATCCGAATGTGGGCACCATCGAGTTTCTGGCCAACGAGCTGAGCCTGGCCACGCGCACCATCACCAACTGGTTCCACAACCATCGCATGCGGCTCAAGCAGCAGGTGCCGCACGGCCAGCCCGGCCAGGACAATCCCATACCCAGTCGCGAGAACACCAATGCCACGCCCTTCGATCCCGTCCAGTTTCGCATCCTGCTGCAGCAGCGGCTCGTCGAGCTGCACAAGGAGCGCATGGGCCTGAGCGGTGCGCCCATACCCTACCCACCGTACTTTGCCGCCGCCGCCCTGCTCGGCCGCAGTTTGGCGGGCATTCCAGGCGCTGCGGCGGCTGCTGGTGCAGCGGCTGCTGCGGCCGCCGCCGTCGGCGCCGCTGGCGGCGATGAGCTGCAGGCGCTCAATCAGGCCTTCAAGGAGCAGATGAGCGGACTGGATCTGTCCATGCCGACGCTGAAGCGCGAGCGCAGCGATGACTATCAGGACGAGCTGGAGCTGGACGCCAGTGGCCAGAATATGAGCGACAATGAGTCCATCGAGGGTGGCCACGAGCCCGAGAACACCACGCCCATATCCGAGTACGAGAAGGCGCTGCAGAAGTCGGCGCTCGCCTCGGCCGCCGCTGGCTATTTGAACAATGCGGTGCGCAGTTCGCGCCGCAAGCCCGCCGCCCCCCAGTGGGTCAATCCGGCTGGCGCCACCACGCCCACAGCGGCGGGCGCTGCGGGTGCCGCAATCGCAGCCGGCGATAACAGCGCCAGCGAGCGCATCATCAACGGCGTCTGCATCATGCAGGCCTCCGACTATGGACGCGACGAGGGCGACAGTGTCAAGGGCGGCGAGTCCAATGCCGATGCCGAGCACGATGATCATGCGCACCTGGAGATCGAGCAGCGCTTCATGGAGCCAGAGGTGCACATCAAGCAGGAGGAGGAGGACGACGATGAGTCGACCTCGCAGCAGCAGCAGCAGCAGCAGCTGGACGACGAGAGCGCCGAGAAGCAGCTGAAGGTGATCAACGAGGAGAAGCTGCGCATGGTGCGTGTGCGACGGCTGAGCAGCAATGGTGATGGCGATGAGCATTGCGCTGCAGTGCAGCAGGCAACGGCAGCGGCAGCGGCGGCAGCAGCAGCAGCAGCAGCCGTTGCAGCGGCAGCAACTGCGACGCCAGCAGCAGCRGCAGCAGCGTGGAACTACTAAGCTAGTAACTGGAACTGGAACTGGAACCGTAACCGGAACGGGAACTGGTTACCAGAGTGCAATGTTGAAGACGTTTACTTGTGATTAAGTTTGGCAGCGGCCCCAGAACATGTTTAGCCACTGGCTAATAAATATATACACACATACACACACATATATATATATGTGTATATGCATACATATATATACATAGCGATATATAGCACATAAAT